CTTATGCAATGCTTTCCCCAGCCATGGCATAGCGTGGGTTGCCAGGGCACGTGGTCGCACGGAAGGAAGGGAAACAAAGTATACACATGTGCATTCAACTGCCCAATGGCATCCATGTCACCCTGAGATCACAGTTGCAGAAATAAGAAAATAAGAGTCATTCGATTGTCTGGAGAGGTCATTCCCAAGTTCGCATGGGAAACTGTTCAACGGAACCCAGCAAACAAAGCGTGCAGGTTTATTGAGGCAGCACCAGGTTCTGAAATTTTGCACTCCTAACAATTTTGCAGCTGGGCCAACTGCCCTTTGCCCCCCCCCACACACACACTCTACACCCCAGGAAGCTCATCTGGTGCCAACACTGTCATCTTTCCAGCGCCTTTTTTTTCTGCCAGGCATTTCAACAACAATGGCTGGGCTTTGCTGGCTGACTTTGGTGTTCATATTGCTGTTGGCTGGTGTGTTTTTGGTATGTGTGTGTGTATATACACACACACACACACACACACACACATATATATATATATAGAGAGAGAGAGAGTACTGTTTAGTGGATACGTAATTATCACTTTTTACAAATTGCTTCAGGAGTTCCTTTGTGATTCTTGTAAATGACGAGCAATTTTAATAAACTATTATCTGGTAACACATCTGGTAATCATCATCTGTAACAAATGCATTTTTCATTTATTACAAAAACCTTCTGTATGAATATAAATAGGATAAACAAACACAGTGCATCCATACATGTCTACTCAAAAGAAATTTGATCGGGCTTACTCCAAAGTAAGAGGGTGTAGCTCGGCAGCTTAACTGAAACTATTCTGGGGTTGCCATATTTCAAGAGGTAAAGATCTGGACACAAAAAGTTGTTGGGCCCCTTCACCACTGCCAGGCCAGAGCCGCCCACACCATATCCCAAGCCTGAACCAGAGCCCAGGTCGCCATGCCAGAGCCAGAATCCAGGTTGCCTGAGCCAGAGCCTGGAGTACAGCCTCCCAAGCACAGAAAAATAATTTGAACCCAAAATCCAGGACATTTGCTTTAAAATGTAAATCCCACCCCCTGGACGGGTATGTAGGACCCCCCAAAAAGGACATGTCTGAGAATTTCCGGACGTATGGTAACTCTAAACTATGAGAAAGAAGCATTTTTTAAAAAAATTATACCTACCACAGCAAATACTGTCATTCTAAGCACATAATTCAGTGATAAAATCTTTCTTTGAAAACTCTCTCTTTTGAATGTTGAAAAAAAATATATGCTTTTCCTGGCAGCTTACAAGTACAGTGTCATCTTCAAAGACAACGGAGCTTTCTCAGTGGTGAAAGAAGAAAATTAATTTGATTTGATTAAAACTAAGAAACACTAGCAAAGGGCCCATTGCTCTTTTTGCTCTCCTGTAAAGTCTCCTCTTTGACCTCTAGGCCATGGAGTGTTAATTCAGTGTCAGTGCAAGCTGGTTTAAAATTTGCATGCATAAAAATGGATCATCATATGCAAATCCTAGAAGTACCAACCTAATACTGCTGAAGGTTTTTGTTTTGTTACTTCATCTCACTTTCACACGGATCTTGAAACAGTGTGGCAGACTGAAAAAGACAAATAGTATTGTTGGAAAATAGATAATCCTGCCTGCCTGCTTCCTTGGTGGGATTTGATGCTTGATACATTGACATTGATCCATGTGTTTTCCCACAGAACCCTGGAAATATCCCTCTGGCTCTTGGGCAGCGCAGAGTTAAGCTCAACTCTTTTTCTTCTGTTTGCCCCTTGGCAAATCCTACTGTTTCCAGCTCAGAAAATATGTGCGCAGATGTGCGTTTGCAAAAGGGTTAAGGGTTCATTTCAGCCTGGATCACCAACCAACATTTGTGAAACACAGAATACATGATATGAAGCACAATGTGTGCATTTTATGTCCATGTGACAATGAAATGCACTTTATTTCTTCTGTTATGCTTTGTGCTCCTTTAGAATATATGTTGGAATGTAGACATTATCTGTTAAGGAAATAACCAGTGTGCAATAGACTGGAGTTAGAATTAGTACACAATTTATTCAGGTTCCAAAATACAGCGGCACAGCAAGTTGACATAACACTGTGTTACTTGCCCTAGAGGCATCAATTCCAATTTGCCTTGGATAATAAATAAATTTGGTCAAGTCATCTAGAGCTGTGCATGAGTAAACATATTCAAATGTGGATTTCCCCCCACATAATGCAGAAATGGCTTCATGAATTATAGGTTATTTTTGTAAAAGCAAATGTTCTCTCCCTTACTGAATATGCAGTGCACATTGAAATAATAAATATATAGCATATATAACATATAATGTATTTATTTGTTGTTGCAGTGGTGGATCAAGAGCTTAAAGAAGAAATGTGCTCATTGTACATTCACAGTCCATTCCTTTTTTGTGAATCAGGGTCAGAAATGTGTCAGGAAAACATTCACTCTGTATAATATGGAGCCAGAATACTCACATTCAGAATCTTGACTGAAATGTATTGAAATGAGCTAAGCTTCATTTCACAAAATTAGGCTGTAATCATTCCTTCTCATCAATATTATCTTCCTGGTTGTTGGCTCCCTCCCCCGCTATTATTATTTTACTGCTTAAACTCTTTTGTAGAAATAAACTATGCAGCATTGTACCAATACATTTAAGAGCTGATCTCCAGACCTAAATGGAATTTTAAAGTGCTATCAGAAAATTAATACGGCAAACTAATATAGCTAATTATTGCTGGTTACAACAGCATGGTGCTAATAACGCCATGGTTGCAGGTTTGAACCCCGTTTGGGAGAGCTGCGTATTCCTTCATTGTAGAGGGTTGGACTAGATGATCCTCAGGATCCCTTCCAACTCTACAATTCTTATTAATATAGTAATATCGTTATTTTTTCCATATTTAACAAATTAACTGTGAATATCTGCAATATATACCATTTGGTAATACGTTCATGAACAAAATTACTTCACTGCTAGAGCATATTTCTTGGAATCTCTTGGTTTCTATGCTTGCTCTTTCGGTTGCAGTCATCGGACACCCACCTTTCCAAAAGAGTGGACTCATCACTTCTTTCCCCTAGGGCATGAAAGACTATCTCAACTAATGTCAACAGTTGAATGACCTGAAACTGCACCTCAATAACTGTTTCTTTAGAACCACTCTGTAAATGGGCTTGCTCATGCCTGCAAGCCCCTTGGAGTTCTGCCAGTCAGGCCATCTTACGAAGCTACCAAAGGCAAAGCAAATTCAAAAAGTGAGAAGACCTAGGAACATTTGGGTGGTCTTTTATTCAGATGCAAATAAGCAAAGGATATCAAGCTGGAAAAGGATATGACATGTTGGCACTGCTGCTCTTTGTTTAGTTAGGGTGTGTGTGTGTGTGTGTGTGTGTGTGTGTGTGTGAATAACGCATACCAGAGAGGTGGGGAGGAAGAGGACTAAATAGTTATGAATGAACTTCCATCATCTTGCCTCAGAGTCTTCTGAGTTTTCCTACATAATCCTTTTTTTTAAAAAAAACCAACTCAAGTATTTTCAAGATTGGCTTGAGAACATTGGGAAGGAGTGGCTGCAGTCCTCCCTTTCCTGTCAAGCTAAAGATCCCTGACTCTAGAGAAGTAGTATGACAGAATCACGGGCTCCCTCCCCCCCAAAAAGAAGCAGTCTTGCTGGAAAAGACACTCTTTGTCCTATCAAAGAAGCATGGGACTTGCATTTCTTCTAACTCCCAAATTTAATATGCTCAATAGTTCTTTGACCTGCTACCTGTCTCACCTATTCAGTTATTATTCTTTTAAAAGCAATTCCACATTCCTTCTTAACTTAAACTAGACTTTTGTCCCATTACACACTTTCTAAAATATTTAATCTTTCTATACATCATCAAAACAACCTAATCCTAAATTACTGAAACATTTGTCACTCATTTGACTTTTGGAGACAAATAATATACATTATAAGAAATGATGGGGATAAAAAGGGGACTTGGCCCAATGTTGATTTTATTTAATTGGATTGGGGAGGACATTCCAAAAGAAATGGAATATTTAATAAGGAAATTAAGAACGTCAGCAAAATTGTGAGAGTGTGTAATTGGCAAAATCAAATTCTTTCTATATGGTAATGTTAGAGCTTGCCCAAAATGGACAAATATTAACAGACTTTATCCCTAGGAGATAGGGTGGTATTCAGAATGTTATACTTGTTGAGTGTGGGTCATTTAAAAAAAAATTAGAATAGAAAACCTGTTAATGTAATGCTTGACAGGATTTTGTTTTTGTAAGTATGTTTTGTAACTGTATATTAATAATGATTTACAAACTTAAAAAACACGGAAATATGTCACACAAATTCTACATAGAATTTACTGCAGAGATGGGCACCATCTGCTCAATCCATCAGTATATACTCACTTGTCTTCCTTCTACAGTATATCTTATATGCTTCCTTTTTCAGTAAAAGGTACATTATTTGCTGCTTTTCTGCATAATACCCAGCAGTATGTCTTGCTATCAGAAAATTGGTTGGCAACGTAATTTTTTTCAAATGCTGTTAAAAATATTCTGTAGAATTACAGCCAAACTAAATGATATGGCAAGAGTTTCATGAGGTCCAAAAAGAGGTTTCCCCTGGTTATTTCAAGGGCAAATGCTGGTGTATGAATATTCAGATTGGAGTGATAGCACTGGAGTAACTTGCACATTTCCCCCCGTAGGTCCCATACAGTCACATTTACCCTTCATGATATCCTATTGTACATCTCCCACCATCTTTTCTAGTTCCACAATTAAGAAATTGTCACTGGTTTTATTTTTGGCCAGCAGTGCAAACTCAGCCAAGTTTGGGAAGTGGATAACTCTTTAGTCCACTAAGAACCAACTACGGATATTGAAAGCATTCCATTTTTGAAATGCAGCTTTAAAAGAGTTACAGGTAGGTAGCCATGTTGGTCTGCCATGGTCGAAACAAAATTAAAACATTCCTTCCAGTAGCACCTTAGAGACCAACTAAGTTAGTTATTGATATGAGCTTTCGTGTGCATGCATACTTCTTCAGATACACGAAAGCTCATACCAATAATAAACGTAGCTGGTCTCTAAGGTGCTACTGGAAGGAAATTTTTTTTATTTTGTTTCGACTACGGCAGACCAACATGGCTACCTATCTGTAACTAGAACTATGGAAGGCACCACATTGAGCCGCATGAAATGGAAGTCCATCAATGTGTGTATCTGAAGAAGTGTGCATGCACACAAAAGCTCATACCAATAACAAACTTAGTTGGTCTCTAAGGTGCTACTGGAAGGATTTTTATTTAGCTTTAAAAGAGGTTGACAATACCTTTTCTGGGACCCCATGAATATTCACATTTCATAACTTTTAACTGCATTAATAAATTAAAATGTCTTCCACAAGTCCTTCCCTTGCACATCAAATATGGTGCAAGAGTGTATTAACAGAATCCAGTTAACAAAGCATAGACACAATACAGGTGGCTGCCTTGCAGAACAGATTCAACTCAACACAAAATCAACCTCTGATTTACCCTAGGGTGTCATTTCTGGCACATGAACATGGATACCATCTTGCAATATAGCAACCTTGAAGCTGCTTTTCTATGGGATAGTACAAATATGTGAGGACTGAGTTATGTTCATGCCATGCAAAATGCATGTATTCAAAATGCATGGTTGCAAACCTGCTGAATACAGTTACCTGCATGCACACTCAAGCACACATGTGCACCCACACCCCTGTATGCACTGTGTTCTTTCATAAATAGATGCAGAATTTTGAAAACAACTTATTTCTTACCACCAGGCACTGCAGGCATTGGAAGATTTATCAAATTGTGGAATATACTGGAAATGTGAGCAAAGGATATATTGGACTCAGTAGCAACATTTTAAAAGTAATTCGAGTGAAAACTCAACTAGTAAAGCAAAATATAATCATAACAGTAGAATAAAAAATGAATAACCACAGAAGACTCGCATACTCAAATCAGTAAATCAGATTTTGTGGTAACACGTTGCAGCAAATGTTATTTCTTTTCTGTGGGCCCTTAGGAGAAGCTCTCTGCTCATTTCTTTACACAAAGGAAGGTCAATTTATGTTGATGATTCAAATGGTGCTCTGCATCAAACTTGGGGTGGGGGAAACCTGTCATTTTATTGAAAAATCATTCAATTATTAAACTGCTTAATGATGCATGGAGAACAAAATGCAACCCTCACCAAGAATTTACAATACACACTGCATTCCATTACCTTCACAAAATGAGGTGTTTCTGTCCTCTCAAGCTAACACAGGACAGCTATCTTTGCAGCCCATAAAACTGAAAGGGGCTCATGATGACCTGAAAATGTATATTGCTTCTGTCAAATTCCTGACAATGAAGAGCACAGTGAGCTAGAAGACCTCACATTTCAAAAGGATACAATCAATATACCTGAAAATAATTTTAATGTGCTATGAAGTTTCTCAGCAAGACCCTAAATTGACATTGTAGAACACACAATCAGGTTTGAGATTATATTCATACATTAGCACCCCACTCTTCTACCAAAGTAGGTAGCATATAAAAACCCCAGAAACTTTCCTTTGCATTAACAATGCAATTCTATACATGTTCAGATAGAAGTCCTACTAGTGGTATACAGATGTTATGAAAAACAATAGTTTATTGGTCTTGGGATTATGTGTTTCCTTTTCCCTATGCCTCCTCTGATGCAACTGCAAGAAAGAGATCAGAAGCTTTCACTTTTGCAGCTTAGCGTGACATCTGAACCCTAAACTGTGGCTGATCATGACTATTGTTTTTGAAGCAAGCCTAGTTGGGTTGTTTCAATAAAACATACAGTGAAATTTTGCAAACAAAAAATAAAAGTCTGATTTTAGCTACCAGCCTCGCTCTTCTGAACCCCATAGGCGATATGAACTAACAGGACATAGATAAGACTTACAAGTGGTAGAAAGTAAACTAGTTCTCAGCCAAGTGATCTATTCCTCAAAGAGTTACAATTTTAACTCCATATACATCAACCCGCTCTGCGTTAGATGGTGGGTCTGTATAATGAAGGAAGCTCAGCTCTAGCCCACTGTCGTAGTCTCGTTGCTGAGCAACAATGTGGTAAGCTCAGTGGAGTGGGAGGCCAGCCAATGAAAAGCAACTCTGAGGTGTACTTGCAGAGTCATCATTCAAAGTCAGGTCTAGTCCTAGGGCCAGGCAAACAACAATCCATGTGGTCAGATGGTCCAGGGGTCAGGGAATGGCCAAGACAAGCAGCAAGCTAGGACCAGGAACTACAGCCGTTGTTACCAGCATCTGATTGCTGCTGGAAGCTCTGTTTAAGAAAGCTAAAGCCAACTGATTCTCATCATCGCCTTCTCTTCTGTGTCCATGAAGGCTGATCAATTGCAGGTGGAATCACTCTGCCTTCTTCCCCTTCAGCAGGCGAAGCCAATTCCTGGCCCATGACACCCACTATTACTTCCTCTCTCTGATAGCAGCTCTCCATGGACTTGGCCAGAACAGATTCCATCACCTGCTACCTGATCCTTTTAGGTGGACAGGCCTGGCATTGGACCTGGAACTAGCATGTGCTCTTCTATTGAGCTATTGTCCCTTCTGCAAAGGATGGCTACTCGGTGTGTGAGAATGTTAAGGCCTTTCTATAAAAAACACACTGTGTTCCTCTTGTTGTTGCTACTGATGACAGTGGACCTGACCCGAACTAGGAATACACTGAAAACTGAAATCAAATTATGGTGTTCTGAATCCCCATACATTCTAGATGTCAAGTTTACAAGAACCAAGTTAAACTGGTTGTATCTTCCTCTAATGTAACCCATGCATCCCAAGATTATGTTTTAATGGGCTAGCAAAACAGCTATTTGAAACACAAATTAACTGTGATAGAAAGTAAGCAAGCAGAGATTATGCCTGATAGAAATATTCTCCACACAGATGTGACTTCTTGTGTAATGGAATATAATAAGCATAATTGCTTTGATGCGGTGCAAACCCAGACATAAAAGCTCTGAATACACTGTGGCTGATACTAGCATAATTATATTCTATTTTTTAAATGGTGGTTTCCTTTCCTGCTCCAAGAAGACAGTTACTAACTAAATTGGTAAATGCCTTACCAGCAAATCTGACGTAGCATGCTATTACATTTTAGAAATGGAATGAACAATATCCAAAAAGTGGAAGGAAAGCCATTATTTCATTCAAACCAAAAATCTCTTACCATCTATACACACACTCAGTAAAAAATACGTTAACGACCCAAAGGTGCTCATTTTAAGATACTTAGTAAGAATCACACTGTGTAATACATTGTGTTGTTACTGTCCTTGGAGTTCTGTATGTGGTAACCTTTAGAGATCCTGAACGCTCCCTTGGAAACACTGTTCAATGGAGTAATCCAATGAAGGTGGGATCAGAATGACACCACCAAGTGGGTAAGGCTGATGATGTGACTCTTACCAGACATTGTGGTGAGATGTGCATGTATGCATTTTCATGCGTACTAAGTTAGAATAGCCAGTGATGTGGACTTTGGGTGGGTTCAAATCCCAGCTCAACCATGAATCTCATTGGGAGAAAATTAAGATAGCTTTTAGACAGATTAAGCAAGTTCCTTTTGTTTTATCTTTGAGATGTTTGCTAAACCTGGTTCTGTTTGACCAGCTGACTGCTTAATGTATTGTATCTTTATGTGGCTTTTATGTGGTTTTTCGTTTATTGCTCACAGTTTACAGCATTTTTAGCAGTATTATAAATTTCTTAAATTTGCCAAATAAATAAAATGTGTTTCTTTTATGAATAAATAAAATGAACGTTCGGTCTAAACCTAAGCTGCCTTGTAAGGTTGTTGTAAGTATAAAGAGGGGATGGAAAAACCATGTGCAGGAAAATGTAAGAAAACACACACACACACCACACACACTGCAATTAGATTCGCCTGAAGGTGACAGCCCAGGGCTGAGGTAGGCCTCTAGGGCCCCATTCTCAGGATGCCTACAAGACTAAACAAATTTGTGTTTCACCATATTGTTTCCACAGTAATTACAATTTAGTGTATATTTATCTGCTTAAAAGCACCATGATGGGATTTAAATAAAGGTTTTAAACTGCTCTGGTGGAAGAAGAAGAAGAAGAAAAACTGTAAGATTGCTAAGCATCATTATCGTTACAAACATACTCTGATTTAATTGCACATTTCAGTATTGTGGCTTGGTTGTGCCCCATGTTGTTCGTGTGCATGTTTATAAATAAATAAATTGATAATGGAAAAAAATTATCTCCAGCTATGGAGTTCCTGCTATGGATACAGATAATGACTTTCTATGAAATAAAGCTTAAGTTCTATTTAGAAAAAACAAAAACTAAAAACACCCAACTAAAAATAATTCTAAAATGTCAATGAAATGAGTGACATATATGGGCATTTGTATATACTTCAGATCCACCAAATGACTGATATACCAAGAACATGGAAGGATAGATATTCTTATAAAATATTAATGGACCATGTGAATGAAAAAGTTGAGAAAGAGAAAATGAAAAATTTCCAGCAACGAATATCCACTTCCTTTATCTGCTACGTTGTTTTGTTTTATTGTGTTGAGTTATAAGATTTCTATCCCACATTTATCACATATAGCTGCCAGGAGGCTGTGTGCTTGCTTGTACATTTCCTGTCATTATGGCAGCTGTGTTTGGATGGTCTCAATGTGATTTTTGTGTGGTGACCCATTAACTCAACAGGAGAAGTGTAGGTAGAAGCTAGACCACTTACAGGTGCTAAGGTGACTAGCAGGCTTTGGCCAAACTACGACATGAGGCTTAATATCCATTACTTCTTCAATTCAGTGAAAGATAGCCCTGGTATCAGAGAAAGTAAAGGAGTGTCCACTGGCAAACTGGGCTAGAAGGAAGTGAAATCTCCTGTCCCTGGTAACCAATAGTCTGGATTGAGGTTAGGTTTTAAATTCCATCTCACCTATGCCTCAAATTTCAGCCTGTTTCCTTTATTGCATAGAACCCTATAGAACAGGCATAGGCAAACTCAGCCCTCCAGATGTTTTGGGACTACAACTCCC